TTCTTCGGATGACAATATCGTTCATTAACATAAAGACATAGTCCGCCGCCGCCATTTTTTAGTGCTTCGTCCGTTCTATCCCCTCTTACCAACGTAAAACCATTAATGTTAGCAAAATCAGTGTTGTGTTTTGCAGTGAGCCATGTCTCCGAGAATGCCAACATACTGGCTGTTCTAAATTCATGCATATATTCAACAAGTGCACGTAATTCATCCATTTTATTGCATATAGATTGTAAATTCCCCATAATAAGAGATGGGATATATGGTTTGAACTTACGAGACCGTAATTTTTTCCGTACACCACCCGCTTTCCCTCTCTTCCTTCGTACAGTTTTCTTTTGCTTAAGCATTTCTTTAGGCGCATTCTCGAGAAATGTAACAGGTGTTGTAGACGGTACGTTAAAAGTATGTAGTTCCTCCGAAGAATAAGTGACACATAAAAGGTAGACCAAGTACAGCAAAAATCCACACAAACCACGTTTAGCAAACACCATCACAATATCATTAAAAGTAACACAGCAGAAACGGACACGGCACAGACAATTCACCAAACAACAGCAAAAAGGTAAAATGAAAGGTAACTAAAAGCGAGCAGAAACGTCGACCGCAGGAGCAGCGCCGTGACACGTCCGTTCTCTATGACGTTCAGAAGAAGACAGAAGAATGATTATTTTCTAGGCGGATCCATAGGGATCGACGTCTGGGCCTCCCACAACCCTTATCATGTTAGAGCAGGAAAGGATTTTGTGGGGGGGGGGGTGCCGTCTGGTCCTCCCACCACCCTAAACATGTTAGAGCAGGGGCGTTTTTGGCCCCTCTTTTGGAAAGTTAAAAAGAAAAAAAGAAAAAAAAAATGGATCACTAAAAACGCCTGAGATGTTGTTTTCGGGTGTATGGAGAAAAAAAATTTAATCGGAGAGTGACGCCTGTTTAGCAACCATTTTGCCTTCTCCGTATCCATAGACCATCTCCAATCACCAAAACCACTCTTCCCTGTTAGATAGCATTATCACCAATCAGTTTGAACATCACAACTTGGTGGGTTACTGTAGTGATATTTCTGATCATTTACCTGTTTTTAATATTACTTATTTTTCTAATGGTGCTAGTAGCTCAGATAAGGAAGAAATATATATGCCTAGCTTCAGTATTTGTGATTTATTAGTCATATTAGCTATCATATGTCAGCATTTAATATTACAATAAGTGAAAATATTTGATGGCTTGGAAAATAAGGAAATTATACTAATCATGTTTTTGACATGAAACAGGGTTTATTGGCAATAATATTTTTTTTTGTACTTCTTGGAGAAAATATTCTATTACAGATAGAAATACACATAATGCCAAACAATTCAAGACCAAATGTAACTCCCTTACTAAAATTACGGATTGTTTACCAATTTTTGGATTTTTAAAAAAAAAGTAAAATAATAATATTAAATAATAACAATAGTGTGGTTTTATATAGCACCATATCCATCAAACATAAGATGCTCAGGGCACTTGATATGTGGAATAGGAACTCGATCAATGACTTTCTTCACCGCTAAGGGTCCCTTAGTGTCTGTGCTACCAGGTAACCCGGTACCAACAACTCTCGTCGTCCACCACAAGGGGCTGTCTGTTCCAGTACACTTGGGTATCCCCCTACTTGTCTCAAAGGATGTGCTGGTGCGCACAAATCATTGAGTACACTGGGCCTACGGTTTATAGTCCTTATCCGAGAAGACAAGAATTTAAAAAATATATATTTGTGATTTAATGTTACTTTAGCCCATTTAGCAGTATTGAGTCAATTAAAACCTTTGAAAGCCTTGAAATTAAGAAAATTAGAAAAATTATTTTGGAGTTTTTGTAACAAATATTTTCCTGGTATTTTGTGGAGAAAATGTTCCATTAAAGCTTAGAAATACATGTATTCCAAGTAAGTTGAGGCCAGATTCAACTTCCCTGAACAATATTAAGGTTACCTACCTCCATGCCTACTGTAAGCCGATGTTTCTAAAGTAAAATTAGGTATATTGTTATGAATAAAGTATAAAACATTAAAAAGTATATATTTGTTTGTGATTTATGAATGTCATTTAAGTTTATTGCCAGTACTGTATTGAGTGAATTTAAACATTTAATGGCCTTGAAAGTAAGAAAATTAATAAAATCATGTTTTTTGCCCTTAAAATGGGTTTTTTGGTAATAAATATTTTCCTGGTTATTTTTAGAGAAAATGTTCCATTAAAGCAAATAGAAATACATGTATTCTGAGTAAAACCAAATTCAACCCCCCTTAATAAATACTAAAAGAGTTATTTGTTCAAAAAGTTTACCAAATTCAACATACACAATCTGATATTAAAATACTAACAGAGTTATGGATTTTTCCTGATTTTTGGGGGAAAAAATCATCAACATGGCCAAAAAAGATGACCAAAAGTATCAGGAGCATGAAAAAAAAAAACAGGTCTATATAAACCGTAGAGTATGTACACGTAGAACCATCTAGCTGCTGGACTAAAAATTATTGGAAAAAAAATTCTGAGTACAGGACTGACTAGACTGTACAGTAGATACAGAATAAGCGACTGGAATAAAGACCAATTACTTTTATGTAATGTTCATTGATGGCGCTATGTAGTTCAGGTTTCTGTTGTAGATTTTTTTTGCATTGTTTGTGTTGCCGGTTTATTTTTTGCTCAACCAGCGTTGGAGATCGTGATATGTACGTTGGCTCCTGAAGGTTGCCGGTAGTGAGAAAGAATCTAATGAAAGCAGTAGGTATTCATCGAAGTAGTCAAATTTGTTTCAGTAAGTATAAAGCTATGAGAATTTTCATTAGATTAATTTGAAAGTATGGCGTATATAATGAGGTAGATGGAGTACAAGTCAAGACAGACGTTGGCTTGTTGGGGTTGAGAGACATGCTGAAAAACGGGAACGTTGCTGACTACACCGAGCGGAGAGTAAAATCGTGTCATGAGAGTTTGTCCATGCTGATTGCACAACTATCTCTCTGGCTACTGTCCGACACCATCCCGACACAAAGAGAATCATGTGGCGGTTCGAACTGTTAATTTGAAATCTTTGAGCCAGGGCCTTGTATTTTTTAATCACAAAAAGATGTATTTTGTATTGTATTTTGATAGGAATGAAGAATGAATGGTTAGGCCTACCCTAGACACTGTCACTGGATAGCTAGTTATTATTTAGTAGCGGTGGCAAAGAAACCTCAATCTCCCCCCCCCCCCCAATTGACTGAATCTCAAATTTGATTCAATCCTGACGGGTCATTGAGTATTATTAAGTTATATTTTTGAATTTTAATAATAATGCCTTATCTTTTCTACTAATTGTAATAATAAACGAAATGCAATTATACAGTATCCCGATATAGCCTATCTATAGCCAGGTCTATCTCTTATGGCCTAGGCCTAGTCCTAAAGTTTAGTAATTTAAAAATTGATATAAATGTTTCTAATCTGTTGTCATTGACCTGTTTGCATTGTTTGATGGTTTAAAACAAAGTTAATAAATAGGAGAAGATAAAACTGAAACGTCGATGAGGGTGTCCGTGGAGCAATCTTTCTCCATCCTAGAGAGGCGGCGATATGCTTAAGTATAATAAACAGATAAATCAAAGGTACCGCTCGCGTTTGTTTTTTCACTTAGTTTCTCCTCTCCGTCAAATGGTCACAATTGGTTATTCCTCCATTCTAGAGGAGGGGAGACATTCCATCAATTTTAATGCAAAATACGCGAAGAGCTATTTAAGTTGTATGGTTTAAACGTAAATAAATTTTATATCCATTGGTTAAAGACTTATTTTGGCAGTAGATTATGGAGATGTAAACTAATGATGAAATAATATTACTTTAACATCACTTTAATATTAAAATGAGTATATGGTAGATTTCAGAAGGACTGTTCACCCATCAGGAATTTGAAAACAAATTTTGTTTCATTTACTGTTTTTAAAAATTCAATATTTAAAGCAGAGGCTTCATAAGATAAGGCATAGCCTTAGCATCGAGGAAGCTCCGAAAAATATCAGGAAGGATTTTTTCTTAATGCTTATATTACATATATATGGAAAGAAAAGTAAAATGTTGGTATTATGCCTATCTAATCATAATTAAAATATACGAAAAATAAATTAAACAGAAAATATTTAGTGTCAATTATAAATTTTGGGACAAATTTAAATAGGGATAGATTCTGGTGATTATATAAACAGATCGAATAATAAACATATGGCATAAAAACTTGTGATAATTAATGATTAATAATAATTAATAATTAATTTGTTTTTATTTACTGAGCATGCACAGTTCAAGTTACTGCAAACCTTAATTTGTACGTCACTTCAAATATATCCAGTTTCTTTAATGTATGAAACGTGTAACTTACACACACTGAGTAAGTTGCAGATTCTTTATTGCTTTCTTAATGTATCAGTTACCCAAATTTGTGCTGCCATGTTGATTATTTATGTGACAATCTACATTAAAAAAAATAAATTTATCAGACATGGGAATTAAATACAATGCATTTCATTATTAAATGCAGTGCTTAAATATCATAAAGCTTCTATCTACCCATTATAGTGCTAAATATTGTTGGTATTAAACCATATCAATAAAATATTAATATATTAATGCTATTATTATACTGGTGTCATTCATTTAATGCAAACATTTAGTAGCCTATATTATGACTAAGCTGTATTCATAAATTTATTATTTTAATGGGTTTAGTGTGGGATACTAAATGGTGCCAATTATACTACATATTTTCTATTTCACTTTTTGTCAATAATTATATTATGTAATATTCTAAATATGCTAAATATTGTTGTATCAATAAAATATTAATATAATTAATGCTATTATTATACTGGTGTAATTCATTTAATGCAAACATTTAGTAGCCTATATTATGACTAAATTATAAGACATCCTGTAATTGGCTTCCGCTGTTGGATGATTTTTAAAATAAAATAAAATAAGTAAATAAAATAAACTGTATTCATAAATTTATTATTTTAATGGGTTTAGTGTGGGATATTAAATGGTCCCTATTTATACTACATAATTTCTATTTCACTTTTTGTTTAATATACAAGTGTTTTTTTTAATTGATACCTTATAAGACCTCATTTGGTGATAGTGCGTTTTCTGTTATTGGACCAAGGCTATGGAATAGCACTCCTTATGAGATCCGCCAGGCTCCCAGTGTTAAAATCTTCAAAAACTAGCGAGTAGTTTTGTATTTTTTAATGGTAGTTTTAAGATTTCTCTATATATAAATATATATTTTGAACTTTGATATGTACAGCGCTTTGATCCTTTTGAAAAAGCACTTTATAAATCCAAAATAATAAATAAATAAATAAGAAACAATTTGAATATTCTTCATAATTAAATCAAAGTTGTATATTATGTTTATTTTTACATCCCATATCCAGTAGTATTGAGGCCTACTGTATTTGCTGCGAAGCAGCCAATTCATATTCTTGACAGCAATTTGACCTCTGAAAGGTCATTGTCAAAAAACAAGGGCCTAAGACGACTAAAAAGCGGAGTTTCCTTCTTTCGTTCTGCCAGGTAAAATCATTTACTTTAGGCGACGTTTGTAGACTAACCTACACGTACCAACGTCCGCATGTCGCGACGCTCGAGTATTACTATTCAGCGTTTTTACTATATTTCTAGGTTTCCTATTTCTACGTTTAATCGGCCCATGTCTCAGCCACAATATTTTGAGGCCAATATTATTTACAAACCCAGTTAAACTTATTTACTAGCCTATTTCAGTGTGCTAATTATTACATTTAGGCGACGCTTGTTGTAGACTGGCATACACAGTACCAACGCTCGTTTTTACTATGTTTCTACGTCAGCTCGAGACACTTGAGTATTACTATTCAGCGTTTTTACTATAACCATGGGCAGTATAAATGTCAACTCAGCCCAAGTCTCGGCACAGTATTTTGAGGCCTATAGTATTTACAAACCCAGTTAAACTTATTTATGTCAACATGCTAATTATTACATTTTAAAACAATAATTAAAAATGTGTTATACTAGGGGGGCCGCAAAACTGTGGCCAAGTTGACTTGGTGCCGAGTTGACTTGAATTCGATCATGCTTACGTTGTGTGGTGCGTTGGCAGTCAACTCGCCTCTACAAACTCGCCCCTAGAAAATTCGCCGCCTTGAAAACTCCCCATACTAAATCATCTCACCAAATAAAAAACCCTACTCTAGGCCTAGACTACCTAGGATGGTATAGGCCTAGCCTTGAAGGGACGAAGGTCCTGCAATGAAAAACAACGTCGCTCCTTGATAGCTTTGTCTATTTAACATCACAATAATTCATTATTAGATCTATAGTTGTTTTTTGAATTGTACTCCACAAATCTCAGCCGATACCTCGCACAACTTGTTAACGTCTCGTATCTATTGGCGTGACGTCATGGCTCGCTGACTCACACTTGTGTCTCGCACTTGTGACACGCTGGCTTGCACTTTAGCAACACTCCTTGACAGTCAACTCGCCCCTAGAAAACCCGCCCTTGGAAACTTGCCCCATAAAAAAATGTACACTTCCTATGCAGTCCATGCAGTCTTCAAAATAAAAATTTTTACCTTTGGTAATCAACTACATTTTCCACATACATAGAAATTTTTGAAACTTTATTAAAAAAAACCTAAACCATAATTCATCACTATAGACACTTTTTGACAAAAATGAAAAATTACGACTTTGTCACCCAATGAGAAGTGTTATAATATAGACAATGGGTCGTGTCTCATATTATTTTTTTATTATTATTTTTATTATTCATTATTTTCACTTGACTCGCATAAATAATTTTGTTCGAAGAACATTTTATGCAGTTGTACTTTGCAGCACTTCACTTGCAATTTGCAATTTCTAGTTTAGTCAAATATTTGTAACAATTTACAGAAGAATTCCAAATGTCAGGAAAAAATAAAAAGTTAAATCTTAAAAAAAATCATGTATTCTGCAAATTTCAATTCATATCCATCAACGTACATATTTGTCAAAACAAAACAATATCTGAATCATTGTTGTATTAATTTTTTTTTAATGAGTTGTAAAATATAAATTTAAAATACCAATCCTGATCTCATGTGGTGCCCACTACATAGTAATGTATTATTTGCTTTTACACAAAACAATTAACAATTTAAATGGAAAAGTTACACCTTGTGATTACAGGTATCTTAAAATAAAGTTTAATTAGTGAACGTGTGTGAACCACCACTTCAAGTTGAAAGTTTGAGTCAGAAATGTAGTGTGTTATTAACACAGTGTTGTATCTATTCTACTGATAATACTCCTATAAGTAGTCATTATGACTATTATTACTTGTCAACTATATGGTCCCCATGGAATGTCACTTGTGGGAGTTCTGTGTGAATCTTTAAGTACGTTTGAGTAAGTAAAGCTTGTCATGCAGCAGCAAATCCATATAGTATAGGGTTGGGAAAACATTTAACTAATCCACAGAGAACATGTTTTGCGTAATTTCTTCACATCATAATGATTTGCATTAGGATAAAATACATCTTGGGAAAAAAACAAACATGAATTTTGGAACCTTTTTCTCATATTAAACAATTACCATGACACAGGTTTCCATGTAGCAAAGATAGATAATGCATAGTAACTATTTTTTTTTTTACTTTTTAGGATTTATACATTTTGAAATATTATTTGATGTTAATAATTACATATTTTTTGGGTTATTTATGGATAATATTTTCAACTACAAAACAATGA